GAATATTCTCTTTCATTTGCCTAATATCTCAGTGAGAAGTAAAAAAGAGGAAGGGAAGTGTGAGGGAAAACGTGATCATACTTCTGCACTCCAAAACAAACTACTTACAACTTTTTTGTTCTTATTCAGTATTAGCAGTATTGATGAGACATTGGGAAGTGTTACGTGGAACTAAAGATTCCTTCAAATGAGTGTGACCATCAGAAGCTCTGCCAGTATGTTCCCAGCCAATAGCTCATGTATTCATCCCAAATCCTTCCTGCTGTTGGGAATCCCAGGACTGGAAAATATGCAGCTGTGGCTTGGCTTCCCATTTGGTACAGTGTATCTGATTGCCCTCCTGGGGAATGTCATCACCCTCTTTGTCATCCAGATTGAGCGCAGCCTTCACCAGCCCATGTTCTACTTATTGGCTATGTTGGCTCTGACTGACTTGGGTCTGTCCACTGCAACCATCCCTAAAATGCTGGGCATATTCTGGTTTGGCTTCAGTGAGATTGCCTTTGGGGGCTGTTTAGCTCAAATGTTCTTCATACACCTGTTTACAGGCATTGAAACGTTCATGCTCGTAGCCATGGCTTTTGATCGCTACATTGCCATTTGCCACCCTCTCCGATACAACACAATCCTCACGAACAAAACAATTTGTGCTATTGCTGCAGTAGGAATGTTGAAAAATTTTATTTTGGTTTTTCCACTTGTATTCCTCATTCTAAGGCTTTCATTCTGTGGACGTAATATTTTATCTCATACCTATTGTGAACACATGGGTCTTGCCCGTCTGGCCTGTGTCAGCATAAAGATCAATATATTATTTGGATTAATCCTTATCTCTATGATACTCTTGGATGTTATTTTCATTGCTGTCTCCTATGTGAAGATTCTCCATGCCGTCTTCAAACTTCCATCTTGGGAGGCCAGGCTCAAGGCTCTTAATACCTGTGGTTCTCACGTGTGTGTTATCTTAGCTTTCTTCACTCCAGCCTTTTTCTCCTTTATGACTCATCGGTTTGGCCACAGTATTCCACGTTATATCCATATCCTTCTGGCTAATTTATATGTGATCATCCCTCCTGCTCTTAACCCTCTAATTTACAGGGTAAGAACCAAGCTAATCCGAGATCGTGTGGTGATGATCTTCCTTTTTAAGGAAATTTGACTCTGAACACCTGATTTGGAGACAGTCTTCACATCTTTGAG